ATGAGATGATAAGGCATCGTGTGGGCACGAATGCGGCTGCATGCTTCCGGGAGCTGGGTTTTATAGCCCTGACCAGAGCTCCTGCAGCCGAAGACCTTCAGAACCAGCCACCACCATGCTGAGACCACTCTCCGCTATTAGCCATTTAGTGGTTAAAAATATTATAAAATAAATTATTGTGGGCCTGCTACAGGGGCAGGCTTGAGGGGTGGTTGAGAAAATGGAGATAATGGTAGAGGGAAGTGGTGGGATTGGTGTAGGAATACTGAATTCCTGTAACAAGTCATTATGAACAACTTTGTAAGTCACAGTATTTAAATGAAGTGTGTGCGTGTGTGTGCAGGAGACCCTGGATTTGATTCCTATGACTGGAAAACAAACAAACAAACAAACAAACAAAAACAAGAACAGAAAGTAGAAAAAGCTTGAAACTTGTCAGGACTAAAACTATGTCATGGAACAGCTGCCTAATGCTGAGTCTGACTCCAAGCAGATGTGTTCTATACAGCTCACTTCATCTCTCCTTTTGTTTTTTTTCTTTTTGGGTCATACCTGGCGATGCACAGGGGTTACTCCTGGCTCTGCACTCAGGAATTATCCCTGGCGGTGCTCAAGGGACCATATGGGACGCTGGGAATCGAACCCAGGTCGGCTGCGTGCAAGGCCAACGCCCTCCCCACTGTGCTATCACTCCAGCCCTATCACCTCTCCTTTCTAATCCTATTGCTCTATTACTTACAAGCCCACAGATGTGAGAAACGTCGACTGTTCTATCTTCCTACCATTCCCTTCTGGTGAACTGAATTTGCTTCAGGACTGTAGCTTCTTTCTTCACCCTGCATTCTGAATGGGAGCATTCAGGTGCTGAGTGGCTGGACTGGCTTCCTAACCCTGACCATTGTCAAGTGTTTTCGTTGGTGTGAACCTGCTGCCTCTCCTGGTTCCCAGGCACCCAGCCTATGGTTTAATTGCAAGTGCAGGAGTCCTTAAACACTTCCATGCTGACCACAGCACATACAGGAATGTGCAAACACACACACACACATACACACACACACACACACACACACACATACACACACACAGAGCAGGAACAGAAGCAGATGCTGAGTGATAAACATGCAGAGGTAGAGACAGTCAAATCCTGGTACTGCCCTGGACGCCAGTGCATGTTTTACTAGGATTCCATCTGCTTTTCTCTTTTGTTTGCTTTTTCATGCTCAGGGTCTGCTCCTGACTCTGCTCAGGGATCACTCCTGGAGGTACTTGGGCAACCAGATGTACTGCTGGAGATCAAACCAGACCTGGCCTTGTGCAATGCAAGATCCTCACCCGCTGGACCATCTCTCCAGGCCTCCAGCTGGTGTCTACTCAAACATCTTCCCATAGGAGAACATTTGTTCCCCTCGCGCAAACAGTGCATTTAAGCCTGACTGGAAAGGCCCCCGGGATGCTGCTTGGAGACCGATCACGCTGAGGGGCTGCTCATGCAGGGGCCTCTCAGTGCAAAGCCGGTTCTCAGACCCTGTGGTTTTAGAATGGGATGGGGAGCAAGGAGTAGTCCTAGGTCTGGAGGCACCCAGTGTCTGCGGTACCCAAGACCCTCATCGGGTTTTACCTGGGACTTGACAGTTGAGGTGCCTGTGTCTGGGGAAACAGTTAGCAGTGGGACCCCCACCTCTGCTGGGCAGGGCAGTGGAAGGGCAGAAAGGGCACTCTCCTCAGGTCATTGACGCCCGCTTCCCACAGGTAAATGAAGCTGTGGTGGTTCTCCAGGCTCATCATGCCAAGAAAGAAGCGGCCCAGAAGGTGGGCACCATGGCTGCTGCCACTTCCCAGGCCAGGAAACACCATAGTTGACATTTTTGCTCCAGCCGTGGTTTGGATATAAGAATGTAGCACTGGGGCACAGCAGGTAGGGCGTTTGCCTTGTACGCGGCCAACACGGGTTCGATTCCCAGCATCCCATATGATCCCCTGAGCACTGCCAGGATCAATACCTGAGTGCATGAGCCAGGAGTGATGCCTGTGCATCGTCGGGTGTGACCTAAAAAGCAAAAAAAAAAAAAAAAAAAGAATGTAGTACTGTCCTTCCATTTTTCATCAATTTGCTCGAGCAGGCCCAGTAACATCTCCATTGTGAGACTTGTTGTTACTGGGTTTGGCATATCGAATACGTCACGGGTAGCTTGCCAGGCTTTGCCGTGCGGGCAAAATACTCTTGGTAGCTTGCCGGGCTCTCTGAGAGGGGTGGAGAAACTGAACCCGGCTTAGCCGGGCTGGTGGCTTGCAAGGCAAATGCCCTACCGCTGTGCTATCACTCCAGCCATGGGTTTAAGAACACCATTCTAGAAAGACAGTAGGAGAGGAGTGTAAATTTTGATATCTGTCCCAACAGCTTGAGTTGTCACTACCTTTGTGTCTTACCTGTTAGCTGGGATTAGAGAAAGGAGAGTAAGAGTTGAGAATTACAAAGGACAAACAACAGTTTCTACTCCTATTTTATTTCCTGACATCAATTCTCCATCACCAATGGGCCCAATATTTCAATTCAATTCTGACACTACCTGGGCTTAGCAGTCCACACAGAACTCTGTAAAGGGCTGAGTTCCTCAAGACTGACCCTCTATATGATCACTTGATCACTTGACTTCCCGTTAATCGTCAATTTGCTCGAACGGGCGCCAGTAATGTCTCCATTTGTCCCTGTCGCGTGCTAGTGTAGCCCAGTGGCATCTGTTCGTTCTAGGAGCACGAAGAGCCTCAAATCTATCATTCATAACCTTGACGAAGAAGTCTGACCATCTGGTAGGTGGGCGGCCACGTGGTCTTTTGACGTCCCATGGAATCCAGTCGGTAACGGCTCTAGTCCAGTGGTCGTCTCTAAATCTCATTACGTGTCCAGCCCATCTGATTTTTGACGCCTTGGCAAATGAGACAGCGTCCCTGATTCTTGATCGTCGATGGAGGTCGGAACTCCTCTATATGATACGAGCCACAAATGGGGTACATAGGCTCCCCACATTTTTACTTGACCAACAACTTTGGGATTCCCATAACCTGCTGGTTGGGCCTGAGGTAGGGGAGGTTCTCCGTGTACAGCCACCGCTTAGCTCTGAGAGTTCAGCAGGCACAGCCTGGGGGCCAGCATGAGAGAGATGGACACATGTGACTAGTTTTGGGTGTCCCTGTTAACTTCTGGACTTGAGACTGTGGCCTCAGTCTGCAGAGTAACTCTGACTTCTGACAAAGACAGATATGTGTCTGTAGGTGGAGAAAGGAGGGGTCCAAATGAGCAAGGTTGGGGCCCAGCAATAGTACGGTGGGCAGGGCGCTTGCATTGCACATGGCTCACTCGGGTTCGATCCCCAGCATCCTATATGGTCCCCTGAGCATTGCCAGCAGTAATTCCTGAGTGTAGGACCAGAAATAACTCCTGAGTACTGCCAGGTCTGGCCCAAAAACCAAAACCAAACCAAATGGGCAGGGGCAAAGGACAGGCCAGCGAGTATAAAGACAAGTGACATTGGTATGGAATCCTGCTGGGCTGGACAACAGCCATGCCCTGGCAAGGGCCATAGGGGCCCTGTTATCAGCAGGTATCCTAGAGAGTTCAGGGAACTCTGACAACAAGCAGGAGGGTGAATTGGAAGAAGTGAGACCCAACTTCCCTAAATCCTCTGCATCTACCTGGTATCTGGCCAGAGCACCTTAAATGTGGGGCCAGAGAGATGGTACAGGGGTTAAGGGGTTAAGGTACCTGCCTTGCAATGTGAATAACCCCAGTTCAATCCTCGGTATCACATATGGTCCCCCAGAACGTCCATGGTCCTGTCTGAGCAGAGAGCAGGAACAGCACGTGAGAGCCCCTGGGGGTGATCCCAGAATTCCAGTGTACCCCTCCAACATTAATGTGATCACAGAACCCCTATAAGCCCTCAGGGACCCCCCTCCCAACCTTTCACATCACTTGCATGGCCCCTACATGGCAAGACCCGACCTCATCTTTGGGCCACGTGGCCAGTGTAGTGTGAAGGCAGCCAGACAATACTGAAAGGAATGAGCATGGCAGTGCTCCGGTAAAACCTGATTTACTGCTAGGGGAAACTGTACTTCTGGGCTAGAGAAATAGAAGAAGGGTTAAGGTGCTTGCCTTGTAAGTGGCGATCCTTGGTGACTCCGCACCGCATATGGTCCCCGGAGTCCAGCTAGTAAGGAGTAAGCCCTGAACGGAGCCAGGAGTAAGCCCTAAGCACAGCTGGGTGTGGTGCAACAACCCCCCCCCACCAACCCCGCACTCCCCTTCGCACTTCACATATTTTTCACGTGTCAGGATCTATTATTATTGTTTTAATCCCCCTTCCCTCCCACACACAACTGTTTGAACCATAAAAAACACTGTTAAGGCAGGGGATTTTGCTCAAAGGTACAGCACAAGCCTTATTATGTGTGCGACCCTGGGTTGATCTCCCCGCATGATCAAAATTAAAAACAAAACAAGGCAATTTAGCGGTCCAGTTGTTTAAAAAAAAAAACGAATGAGGGGCTGGAGCGATAGCACAGCGGGTAGGTCGTTTGCCTTGCACGCGGGCGACCCAGGTTCGATTCCCAGCATCCCATATGGTCCCCTGAGCACCGCCAGGAGTAATTCCTGAGTGCAGAGCCAGGAGTAATCCTTGTGCATCGCCAGGTGTGACCCAAAAAGCAAAAAAAAAAAAAAAAAAAAAACCGAATAAGGGCAACCGGCTGCGAGTGGAGTATTTGTTATTATAATATATTATATATAATATATTATGATATAGTTATTTGCTTATGGGCTGGGGGTGAGAGCGCGGGAACCCGCTGCAGCCTCCCGCCGGTCTCAATACGCGCCTCCCCCAGCAGCCGCAGCTGGAAGCGGGTTGGCGTGGGTGGGCGGGGCCTTAGGAGACTGGGAAGGGGCGGAGGGGCGTGGCCACGGCTCGGGGGGGCGGTCCCAGCGCCAGCTTCCGGCGGAAGAGCGCGGGAGCAAGATGGCCACTACCAAGCGTGTGTTGTACGTGGGTGAGCAAGCGCCGGCGCCCGGCGGCGTTCGGGCGAACCGGACCCCGAATCGGTGGGGGGGGGGAGGGCCGGGATGTGCCCCTGGACACGGAGGGCTGCGTGTAACTCTCCGAGCCGGAGCGCTGACCGTAGCTCTGCTTCGTTGTGGGCCAGAATGTCACGGACTTGCCCGCCGCTCTTCCGAGTCCCCCCCCCCACACACACACTTAGATGCGCTTTATCGAGAACTTCACCTCCCCGGCCCCGGCCTGGCCAGAGGGTGATTCTGCGCCTCCAAACCCTCGCTCCCGTTCACTTGACAAACGGTTGCCGCAAGATGATGCAGCCCCGGGCCCTGCCCCGCGGAAGGCGTCCCCGGCTAGCCAGGCCTACGTGAAAGTAGCCTCCGCGGTGCAGTTTGACGAGGCCTTTGAGAGGACCCACGTGATGACTTGGGCTTGGGTGCTGGGAGACACGACCCCCTCCTAGGGGGGTGGAGGCCATCGGTCATTGTGCCAAGCAGCTAGCGTCCTCACGTGGCAAATGTGTTTGCTGAAAGGGAGCCGCAGGAGCAGTAAACCCTTGCTTACACTTGGGGAACGGGATTTACCGCGGAAACCCCCGAGGGTTGGGAAAGCAGAGACTGAAAGAACCAGGCTGAGTTCAGGTCGCAGACCGGTGGACACTACTGACCTTATACTTTTATCTTGAGGACACTACGAAACCTTGAAGGTTTTCATTCATCTGTGGCACTGGGTTGAATCCTGGCAAGACGTGCATTTCACCACCAAGCCCTGCCCCCGGCCCCTCTTTTGTCAAGGAAGCGAGAGAGCTCAGGAAGTTGGAGTGCATACTTTGCAGGCAGGGGTTTGATCACCATGGCTTTGGGATCACGTGGACCCCTGAGCATGCACACACACACACACACACACACACACACACACGAAACTACTGCAGGGTCAAGGAGTAGCCCAGGAATTGGTGCCTGTGCAAGGACAGTTCAGTCCCCTCCCCCCACAGCACCACAGCGTGTACTTCTGGAGACCCTCCCCCATCTCCCCTTACTCCCCCCCCCTTTGTGGTCCTGGTGACCCCAGTACTGCTGACCTGTGCATTGCTGGGCCAGAGTATTGAACATTTTGACCTAATTGGTCTAGGATGGCTGGAAGTCATCTTTAGGCCACCCTGAGCACTGCTTGGGAGCACATCCCTCACTCCCACAAAGAAAAAGGGTTTGCAGTAATCCTGAGGCTCCAGGAGAGTCTGAAAGAAGGGTAAAGGGAGTGATGCTTATGTGATGTGCCCAGAGACTGACTTAGGACAGTGACTTAGAAGGCCCTTGACTTTGCAGGTGGACTCGCAGAAGAAGTGGACGACAAAGTTCTCCATGCCGCTTTTATCCCTTTCGGAGACATCACAGATATTCAGATTCCACTGGATTATGAAACAGGTGAGTCCAAGAACTTAAATGTAGTTGTGACAGCTGCATCACAGTGCTTTTTATGTTTTTGTGTTGTCTGGGGCATGAGGGGACCTCTGAAGCAGAGTTTGGATGACCCTGTGGGCCACTCACCAGGGATGCTCAGAGCTGTGATGTGATTTGATGCTGCTCGATCCAGCTGTGCTGGCGCGATGTGGTACCACGGGTGGAACCTGGGGCTCCTGCATACAAAGCATGTGCTCTTGTTCTCTAAGCCATCTCCTGGCCCCTTGCCCCTAGGCCTGGGATCTTTATATGTTAAAGACAATAGGTTGGGGTCAGGGAGATGACTCATGGTAGAGCACATGCCTAGTGTGTGTGAGACTCCTGAATTCAATCCCTGGTACTTAGTGTCTACCGTGCTTCCATAGTACTGCAAGGTGTAACCCCCTATTTAAAAAATAATAATAATAATAAGGTAGAGCTAGAGATATAGAACAGTGTGTAAGGCACTTGCCTTGCACGTGGCCAGCCCAGGTTCAATCCCTGACTCCCCATATGGTCCCCTGAGCCCTGCCAGGAGTAAGCCCTGAGCACTGCCAGTGTGAATCCCAAACAAAACCAATATTTATCTAAGTTTAATTGGTAATTAAATTGACACTACTATTCTTGGCCTTTCCAGTTTTGGCAGCACCTTCTTGTGGATAAAGATTGAGCATTATGTCTAGGTTTCAGGATTCATGCATTCTGCAGACTTGATGTTCAGAACGCGTATTTGGAACAAATAATTGATAGGTTAAGTACTTAATTTTTCTAGCTGACTTGCGTATATTTGTTATGGTTTTAGTTAGAAAACTTATTTAGTTATGTCCACTTAAAATTTGAGCGATAGCACAGTGGTAGGGCGTTTGCCTTGCACACAGCCAACATGGCCGACCCGAGTTCGATTCCTCCGCCCCTCTCGGAGAGCCCGGCAAGCTACCGAGAGTATCTCGCCCGCACGGCAGAGCCTGGCAAGCCACCCGTGATGTATTTGATATGCCAAACACAGTAACAACAAAATCTCCAATAGAGATGTTACTGGGCCTGCTCGAGCAAAATTTGAGATGAGGGCCTGAGAGAGGGCTCAGCTGGCTGCTCTGTGTCCTGGAGGACCATTGCTGGAGGTCCAGGTTCAGTTCCCAGCACCACCTGGTCCTCCCATGCACCAGGAAACTCAAGCACTGAGCTGGGAGTAACTGCTGAGCACTACCAGGTGAGACCTCCTCTCCACCAAAAAACTAAGTGCAAAATACTGTTCAAACAAGGTAAAAAAAATCAAAGAATGAGATTCCATCTTAGCGAGTGGGCAGAATTTCTATTGTCGCTATGGTAAGAGGCTGACTTCACTTTCTTGTGACCATCTGTTTCTTCCCATTGCCCCAAATGGTTATTCACTGCGGTTTTTTTTTTTCTTCTTCTCCCCCTCACCCCCATTTTCTTTCCCCAGAAAAGCATCGAGGATTTGCTTTTGTTGAATTTGAGTTGGCAGAGGTGAGAAAAGTCAGTCCTACCTATGTTTCATCCTTTCTTTGGTTGAATTTCTGGACCTTAAACTGCTGCTTCCTGAGAGACAAGTGGTGGGATTTGAAGGGAAGCTTTGCTCACTCAGTCAAACTGCACAAGCTGAATAATACCGCCCATCCGCCCAGACCTCTGTGCTGCTCTGCCAAGCTTCTGTGGCCCTGCTCATGGAGCATTCTTGCCCCAACCCTCGGTGATTAGTTTCTGTGCCTTCTACCTGTGCTGAAGTCAGCCAGGAGGTACTCTTCCCAGACAGAGGAAGCAGAGTGGTGACTTGTGTCTGGGTTCTTTGCCTGAGTATGTGTTTAGACGCCACTAGAAAGATTCAGCTGCAAGCCTCAACGTGGATCTTGTCTTTTCTTGGCAGGATGCTGCAGCGGCTATCGACAACATGGTATGGCTGGAAGTCTTTGTTGGGACTGATGTTGCTCTTGGGTGGCACAGAGGATGCTTATTCAGATACTGGTTCGCTGATCCTCCAGAGTCAGAAGATGACGTGGACAAGTGAAAACTGCCACGTGGAAATACTCATTGTGAATTCATTGATTCTAAACTTAGTCCTTCCTCAAAACATTCTTCCTCATTTAATAATCTTGTAGATCCTAATCATTCCTGTGGGTCACTCCCTGGCTTGGCTGCCCTTTCCCAGGATAATACATTGCAAACATAATGCGAACTGATTGCATGATGAAAGTGCATATTTTGCAAAAAGAGGCAAGGTTTTGTGAAATGTTTGATCAGTTGACAGTTGAGGAAAGAAATTCAATAAGGATGTGGGTAGGGTGAGTTACTGAGGCAAATGATTTGGATAGCGTAGAGAGAGCCTTTTGAAAAAAGATTTCCTGTCTGTATGTTCCTCTTTGGATCTTCTGGCTTTTCATATTAGCTAAGAAGTGGAAGATGTTGCGTCCTGCTGGCAATGGATTTTAGGGGCGAGGTGGGATGCTCAAATCAGCATCCAGAGTGTTGTTCTAGAGGAGTGTTGTTCCTTAGAGCACAGCTAAGCCCTAATTTCACTATTTTTGTGAAGTAAAATAGTTTCATTTCAAGAAATTTACTTAGAGATATGAGGAGAGAAGGAGAGGTTAATATTCAAGTGAGAACACAGGCTTCTCTAGAAGAGAAAAAGCCAAGTTCACATCTCAGGTCAAGATGGGGCAAATCACCAAGGTCGAGAAGGCACTATGCCTGGATTTCTACTCCAGTAAATTTATTTTCATTATATTCAATCTTGGCAAATAAAATCCCAGTCAGACGTTCTTTCTCATCATGGTTTATCATGATATTTTCTTCACGGCCTTAAGTCGATGTTCTTTAATTTGAAAGGAAACCTGGGTACTTGGAAGCTGCGTTTTCTCGGTGATTGCTGAGCCTCTGAAGTCCGGGCTATTTCTGGCAGTAGCGTCTGCTTATAATGACAACTCAGGGAGAAAACCCCTCAGTGCTGTGAGGTGCTGCACAGCCTGTTAGGGACAGTAAGTTAGGGGCCTACCTCATAGAGCAGAAGTTGTAAAAAGCAGTCCTTTTTTTTTTTTTCTCATTAAAAAAAATTTTTTTTTAATTGAATCACTTTGAGATACTCAGTTACAAAATTGTTCATGATTGGGGTTCAGTTATAGTGTTCTGACATCCTTAGTTTCCCCAGTTTCCCTTCCTACCTAACCCTGCTTCTGTGCAGATACTTTACCTCTATCTTGTTCTCGTTCCCTTTCCTTTAGGCATTGTGCTATTGTGGTTTGCAATATAGGTTCTGAAAGGTGTTGTATATATATATATAATCTCCTTTCAGCACTTAGTTCTTGTCCAGAGTGATCATTTCCAAGTATCATTGTCATAGTGACCCCTTCCCTCTCTGTCCTAACTGCCCTCCACACCCCCAACCCGCCCCCCATACACACTTTGTGGTAAGCTCTCAGCCATGGACACTTCTGATCCTTGAATCCAATTCTCTTAACAGTCTCAGCAACAGGCTTTGTAATCTTTTCAGAATGAATCTGAGCTCTTTGGACGGACAATCCGTGTCAATTTAGCAAAGCCAATGCGGATTAAAGAAGGCTCTTCCAGACCCGGTGAGTGGCCACATCCTCCATCACGTCCTCTGAGTAGCCTTAGTTGTGGGGCCTTTGTTTTTGGGTGCTAGGGATCAAACAGAAGGTTTCATACATGCACTCTGTAGGCTCTATCAGCCATATCCTCGGCCCCCTCAGTTGTGTTTCTTCCATTTACTTGGAAGTAGGTGCTGACCACTGCTTCAAGTGGACAGGAGTGGATGGTGCCTGTCGGTGAAAGGCATGTGCCACCCGGCTTGGGGTCAAAAAAGTCTGAGCATCTCAGCAAGCCGGAGTCACTGCTTCCATTCTGTGTGAAAGTGCCTGGTCCCTTACCTTTCCTCCTGTTCTCAGCATTTGACTTCTGGAATGTTCCAGAGGGGCCCAGCCACTCCCTGTGTGTGGCCCTTTCACTCAGTCCTGCTAGGAGCTGGCCCTCTCTGCTGGCCTTGCCAGGGGGACTTTGCTTTCTTAACCTGGACTGGTTCTTCCCTTTCAGTTTGGTCAGATGATGACTGGCTGAAGAAGTTTTCTGGGAAGACTCTTGAAGAGAGTAAAGAGGAAGAAGGGTCAGAGCCTCCCAAAGTAGAAACCCAGGAGGTGAGACCGGCGTGTGCTCCCAGGGAGGCCCGGGCCTGTATGCAGCCTGTCCTGGCTATGCTGGTGACGCTCCCTCAGTTTCTCCTGGAACTCTCCCTCTCCCTTTCTGCCCCGAGCCATGGCTGCAGCAAGCCTCACAGGCAGTATGCTGTTGCCTGCTGTGGACCCTCCCTCCCCTGATCCTATTCTTCCTAGAGCTCAGCGACTTGTTCCTGGCCCGTGCACACACGGACGTCAGACATAAACGTGGGAACCACGCACAGCACATAAATAACCCCTTGGTCAGTGGAGTCACCGGAGGCCGTCTTGGCCCACTTGTTTCAAATAGCTGGAGTATCGCCATGTTCTGCTTCGTCTTTCTCCAGAACCATCCGCTTCCCTCCTCCCGGTTCCTCCTGATCACCATGTGGCCTGGGCTTGTTGCCGTGACTGTGTAGCTCCTCAGTAGTCCCTGGCTGCAGTCTTGGCCTCCTCCTGTCTTCAGCAGATGGCTGTGATGTTCTTTGGAAACCCAGCTCTCCTCCCCGTCACCTGTCCCCAGGGAAGGCTGGGAGGGACTCTCCATGCTTGTCCTGCTACTGCACCTGTGTCTTCTGCACCTTGCAGCCCCCACTTGCCACACTTGGTGAAACCCACAGCGGGAGCCCTACCCGGCCCCCGCCGTCTCTGCCTTTGTACAGGCTGCTCCCGTGCTTAATGCCTTTCCCTATCTTTCTAGGCAGTAAACCAGTAAATGTTGTGAAACAGGATCCCCCAAACCCACCAGCAGTGATCCCTGAGCACTGCCAGGTGTGGCCCAAACCAAAAAAGAAAAAAAGCATGGGCTAGGGGAGAAAGTGGTTTCAGTGTGGATTTTCATGATCTCAGTGAGTTCGGGCAAATAGGGAATTTGGTTTGCCTTGATTTGCTGTCCCTAAGCGGGGATGGTGGTGGTGCCACTTCCGGGTGGCCGAGCAATAGACAGGCTGTATTGCAGCACGATTCAGACGGTGCTCTGCACAAGGAGAGTGCTTCTTACTGGCCCCGCTGTGCCAGTGCTTTGGCAATGAACAGTAGCAGCCTGTTGGCACATCAGCCCTGTTTACACTAAACCACATCAACGGGTGACTTTGCTCTTTGGAACCAAGGGGTGGCATTTTGGTTTCTCTGTCCTCTGCTTAGTCTTGACAACTTGGACCACAAAGCCACGACCTCTGTTCTTTGTGTTCATCTGAGCAATCGGCCCGGGGAACAAGGGAGGCTGTGGGTCATCGTGGGTCAGCAGAGCCTGGAGGCAGGTGACTGGGCGGCAGCGGCTTTGCAGGGGAAGAGTCTGAGGTGCGGTGGAGCCTGTTGGGCCAGAGCACGCTGCTCTGATGGGAAGGCTAACTCCCTGTGGGCTCCCGGCTCTAGGCATGCCACTGGCCTCTGGGAGGCTCGTGCCTTCCACCTTCCCTCTCGGCAGAGGGTTCTGGGCTACACTCAGAGGGCTGTGTGCTCTTGCATCCCTCTAACCAGGCTACCTTTCTGCCCTCAGGGGGAGCCCGCAGCAAAGAAGGCACGTGCCACCCCTCAGGTGTACCTGGACATCAAGATTGGGAACAAGCCTGCTGGCCGCATCCAAATCCGCCTACGCTCTGATGTTGTGCCCATGACAGCAGGTGAGGACAAACCCCCAACCCGATCTCCACCACAGGCCCCAGCTGCCCCCTCGTGTCCCTGACAGCAGGTGAGAGACACACATTCTCTCTCTCTCTCTCTTTCTCTCTCTCTCTCTCTCTCTCTCTCAGACACACACACACACACACACACACACACACACACACGAGATTCTTTCACCCTGAGTATGTCTCAGGTAAGTCAGAGCAGGCGTTTTGTTGTTTCTTATTGTAATACCAGGGATTGAATCCAGGGCTTCACACATGAATGGACTTGCTGTCCCAAAGCAAGTAAAGTGCTTGTGTACTTTTTATACTTTATAGTTTTTTAAAAATTGGGGGTGGGCAGGGACTGAAGACTCCAGGCCACATGGTGGCAGCAGGGACATCTCCCTTCCTGTCTCCCCACCCCTTCAGGGTCCTGACTGTCACACTCACAAACTGCCTCCACTTGTCACCGGCCTTGATCAGAGACTCACAAATGAATCTCAGAATGGATTAGTTCCCTACAGAAGTGTCTCCAAACCTCAGTTGTTTACAAATTTAGAATTTCAGGAACGCATGCCACTTTGGCGGCTGTACGACCTCATGATATTCATGTTAAGCAATAGAAAATAAATTTTCTAGTATCTGCCTATGGCGGGCAGGCTTGAACAGTGGTGGGAAAATTCAAAATAATGGTGGTGGGAAGGTGTAATGGTGGTGGGATTGGTGTTGAAATATTGAGTGTAACCAATTAATGTGAACAACCTTATGAAAATAAAATTTAAAAATTAAAAATAATTGGGTTGGCGGTGCTCAAGTGCCGTTCCTGGCTCTGTGCTCAGGGGACCATAGTTGGTTCCTGGGATTCCAACCAGGATCATAGTTGACGTAGACATGCAAGGCGAGTGCCTTACTCTCTGTACTGTCCCTCTGGCCCTACTCTTGGTTTGAAAAGTGACACAAGGGGCCAGAGAGATAGTATAGCATGTAGGACTCTCGTCTTACATGCAGTTGACCCAGATTTGATCCACGGTAGCACCACCAGGCCCATCAGTAGTAAGTGCTGAGCACAGTGGGTAAGGCCCAAAAACAAAAATTTTAATGCTCTTGTTTTCATTCAGATCAGATAACTATTTCACTTTCTATAGAGAGAGAGATATATAGATATATAAAGCTTTTCGGGGAGGGTCACACAATGACCCGGGGGCCTCTCAAAGATGCTGGGGACTCCAGGGCTGCACCCAGCAATGCTTGGGGGACCATGTTGTGTCAAGGATCAAACTGAGGTCACTTGCTTTAACCCCTGAACTCTAACCCAAGAAGCATTTTCCATGGTTTTCTTTGGGGGTGGGGGGGTCACACTCAGTGGTGCTAAGCACTTGCTCCTGGCTCAGCACTCAGGGATCACTCCTGGCAGTGCTCAGGGGACCATATGGGAAGCCGGGGATCAAGTCCGCGTCTGCTGAGTGCAAGGCAAATGTCCTATCCGTTGTACTGTCACTGTGGTCCTTTTGGTCTTTAACCAGAGCCTTCCTTTCTCACCCAGAGAATTTCCGCTGCCTGTGTACCCACGAGAAGGGCTTTGGCTTCAAGGGGAGCAGCTTCCACCGCATCATCCCCCAGTTCATGTGCCAGGGCGGTGACTTCACCAACCACAACGGCACCGGTGGCAAGTCCATCTATGGCAAGAAGTTTGACGATGAGAACTTCATCCTCAAACACACAGGGCCTGGTGAGTGTGGGGGGCCGAATTGTGGGGGCCATGGTTCTGGCAGGTGCAGGGGACAGGGTCCTGGATGGTGAGTCAGCACCCCTTGATTCCTATCCTACCTCTCCTCTCCTTGCCTACACCTCCCTCGACCCCAACCTCTCCTGGATTCTCTCTGCCCTCAGTCCTCACCCTCATCTTGGCTAGATGCGCCCAACACTTGCTCTACCCGCAGCTGGAGCGCACAGAAGTATGCTGATGGCAGCTTGGGATTTAGGGCATTAGCTCAAGTTTTTTCATTAGCTGCCCTATCACACTGTCCCATTCCCACCTTCTTTTCTTCGCCAGCAGTCCACCTCTCCCTGCCCACCTACCCTCTCTGACCTCTCCCCCACTTAGAACTCGGGTCCTGCCGTGGACCCCAGCTGCCTCTACTTCCATTTCCCTGTTGGTGCTCAGCCCCTCAGCTTAAGGCATGTATGGCTTATTTTAAAATTTCCTTCCTTTGGGCCAGGAAGTGGCTGTGGATGGTACAACACATGCTTGGCATGTTTAAGGCCCCAAGTTCACTCTCTGGCAGTGCATGGCTCCCTAGGCATGCTGTGACCCCCTCAAAAGCCATCACCTTTTGTCCCCCTCAGCGAACATGTATGTCTTTGGCTTCCCCCACTATTCTGTTTTTGGGCTGCTCCCGAAGTGCTTGGGGAGCCATGTACTGTTGGGAATTGAACCAGGGTTCCTGCATGCAAGGCATGTGCCAGCTCCTGGCCCTCCTGGCCCTTTTAGGCAAAGGTTGGGCATGGAGCTGGAGAAATAGCTAGGCGGTCAAAGCCTGCACTGGGATCTGAGTTTGTGTATCCCTGGAGGCCTTGGAGCATCACTGGGGTGACTCTGGGAGGTCCGTGGCCCTGTCAACCCCAAGTAGCACAGCATCCTTGGGTCCCAACCCTGAGAGTTGGCTGGGTACTTCCAGGAGTGACTGGGATTACACTCCCTGAGTACTGGACTGGAAAGCCCCCAAAATAGTAATTATTTTTAAAATTTTAATGTTCTGTAAACTACTTTCCATTATCTCTTTCCCTCTGCCATATTTCTAGCACATTCCACTGACACAGTTTTAGCAAGATTCTGTTGAGGCCGTCTTTCAGTTTCATCTGACCCACTCCCAGCCATGTCCTCAGGGTGGCGGGAGGTGGGGGGCTTGGGAGGGGTTAAGCAGGGGTGCAAGAGCTGACGGATCCTTCTCTCCCCCAGGCCTGCTCTCCATGGCCAATTCGGGCCCCAACACCAATGGCTCCCAGTTCTTCCTGACATGTGACAAGACAGACTGGCTAGACGGCAAGCACGTGGTGTTTGGGGAGGTCACAGAAGGCCTGGACGTCTTGCGGCAAATTGAGGTGAGTGCCAGCCCTCGGGCTAGGAGCGGCCCTGGCCCTTTCCAGGAAGGGGACCCGTCTTCAGATCTTGGGTGTCGCAGACACCCTCTGTTCACCCTCCCCCACTTCTCACTTGTTCCCGCTCGCTCGCACAGGCCCAGGGCAGCAAGGACGGGAAGCCCAAGCAGAAGGTGCTCATTGCAGACTGTGGGGAGTACATGTGAATGAGTACACGCGTGTCAGAAGCCATCAACTGTGAAACGAGCCACTGGGGAAGTCACGTTACAAGGCAGGGAGTATCCTGACTTCCCACAGGGACTGCTGGTTGCAGACTGGGCCTCTTCCAAAGCTCTTTCCCGTGTTGCTGTGGGCCCGGGAGCTGAGACAGATCCTGTGGCCCCCGCCCCCATCCCGCCCACCCTAGCCCAAAGACGGCTGTGCAGCCTTTCCCAGGTCGTCACTGCTGCCTCCCTCCTGAGCCCACCAATAATAAGGCTCCTGGCTGGTCCTGGTGAAATACGCTACAGTTCTGGTAGTGCCTAGTCTGTATCATTGCTGAGACAGTTGGAGAATACACAGGGTGTCTGGCTTCCCCGTGACTTTTGTTTGCTCCCTGGAGGAGTCCTTGGGATGCCGAGAGATGGAGTCTCACCCCAGACCCCCTAGTCAGACCATTGTCAGGCAGTGGGAATGAAAGGTGCTGGGTCATTCCTGTTCGCACAGCTTCTTCTGGCCAAGCCTGTAACCAGCATGTGTACTTAGCAGTGTCAGTGATGCATTTGTTTGTTCACTTTTATTAATTTTTTAAAATGAGATTTTCTGTCTCAAAGTGCCTTCTCCCTGAGGTCAGCAAACCACATGGACCTAAAAAAATCCAACCTGCTGTGTTTTTTGTGAATAAAATTGTACTGGAACATGTCCACATCCCTTTGTTTACATGTCACTTGTGCCTGCATCCTCCCTGGAGTGGCAGAGTGGGATAGTTGGCAGTGGATATCATAAGGTCCCTGTACTCAGATTCTCAGAGAAGCATGAATCATAGGATGGGCGTGCAGAGAGGCTTTCTCTAAAGGGTCTGCTCTGCAGTTGTGGAGGCTGGCAGGTGTGAGGCATGCAGGGACAACCACAGACTAGAGTCTCAGGAACATTTCAGATTGGACTTCAAATGTGGAGCCACCTGAGTAACCTCAATCTTCTCTCTCCTGAGGTCCTCAGAGGATCAGGTCCACATTGTGGAGAGTAATCTTGACTCCCAGGTCTCCTGACTTAAAATGTTAATCACATCTGAAAAATCCTCATGGCAGTATTAAGACTGGTATTTGGCCAAAATCAATGCTGTGGCCCATCCAGAATAACACATAAACCAACCCTCCCAAAAGCCTAAATTACTTGCTTCAGAGAGAGTTTGCTGGGCACTGTGGCCAGTGGATCCCTCCCTATGGGTTGGGTTCCTCAGACCATCCAGAATCCACTGGACTGGGCTTTCATCCTGAGTTGAAGCATCTGGGCATGCTCCTGGCAGGCATGTGGGCATCTGGCTCCTGTGTGCTAAACTGACTCTCAGCCCTGACTCAGCACCGTCTGCTGCATGTGGGGTGTATTTTCTGGATGTACCCCATGGTGACTCCTGAACTTCCTGGAACTCCCCAAAAAGATCCTCCTGCAAAGCGCAGGCCCTATCTGTGCCCACCCCAGGTCACTCATAGTGTTAGAGCAGGCTTTAGTGTGATCACAGCAGTGATACAAGGGAGTGTTTCTTTGTCAATTTGTATTTTTCTTCGTTTCGTTTTAAAATTTATTTTTGGGGTGGCCACACTCAGTAGTATTCAAAGGCTACTCCTGACTCTGTGCTCAGGGATCACTCTTGGCATAGCTGGGGTTTTAGGGGGAGACCATATTTGATGCTAGGCAAAGAACAGGGGTCAGTGGGATGCAAGGCAAACACCATGCCCACTGTCCTATCTCTAGCACGCCACAGTGCTTGTACAGTGCCCAAGAAAGGGTGTGTATCAGGGAGGTACCTGGTGTAGCCGGTCTCCCAGGAGGGCCCACAGCTGTGACATGGCCTTGTCTCTTTCAACTCTTCCCAGACGCTTTTAGAGGGTGAGGCCAACAGTCGGGTCACAGAGCTCAGTGGGTCTGGAGTCACTGGGTGCCATGGCCCCTCCCAGTGCTTGACCAGAGTGTTATCTCACTGTGCCCACAAGGCTCAGGTGACATGGCTGCAAAGGTTGCCCGGGATGGCGTGGCAGAACTGGGATTGACCTGTCTCCTCCTGGTCACCGTGGAGTGACCAGGAGGTTTACTGCTGTCACTTGTCTATAGCAGAGGTCTCCTGCCTGGGGGGAAGATGGGTCACATGATCAGTTTTCACCTAGGCACAAAGTACTGTCTTCCAGGCAGGGGTTGGGGGCTGCAGAACCTGGGAGTCACCTACAGCTTGCTCTAAAGGGTCAGCTCAGCTCAGAGCCCACGTGACCTGCTGCTCTGGAGACTGACACTGTGGGGCCTTTGTCACTGCCTCCACCTTCCCACTGCTCCAACACCAGGACTAAGAAGGTGGGGCGGGATTTGGCTGACATGTTGCTTCACTGACGCTTAGGGCTGGTCCCCACCCACACTGGCCTTTCACAGAATGTCTGCTGGGATGTCCTCACAGCCTGCCTGCAGCCACACTGCCAGTCCAGCCCCAGTGGTTCTCAGCAACCTCCTCTGAAGGGCTATAGGACCTGCTTTTCATTTGTGAAAAAGCCATATAGAATCCAGGGGAGATCAAAGGAGAGCTGTGTTTCAAAAAAAATATTTATTAATAGGGAAATTTTCACCGTATCAGGTGGGGAAAGCACATCAAGCAATTTATATAGTATAGTATGATACCAGTTCTGTGTAAACAGCTATATGTATGTCCTAAGAAAAACGCCTAGTCCACCGATTAAAAGTGCAGCTGAATATGGGACTCAGTATGGTTTGAACTGTTTGTTTTCAAACTTTCCTTACAGACTGCTTCCCCCTCCACACACACACCCCATTTTTTGTTTTGGGGTTATACCTGGTATACTTGGAGTTCCTCCAGGCAGCGCTGGGGGACCTGGTTCTCCTGTACACACTCAGCCAGTCAGCTACCTCTCTGGCCCCCAAACTGCATTCTTTATGTAATAAATGAAAAGTACATTTCTTGGAAGTGTTTGCATAAGACCTTTCCCCTAGGAAAGCCCAGAATAGGGCACTCCCATTTTAAAGAGCCTGAGGAGGTATTTAGTGTAGCACCCTCAGGAGCCTCTTTCTGAGGACAGGACAAAGGGGACATAGGACCCAACCCCACCTCCCACAGTATCAGGCACTGGACTTGGGCCTTTAAAACAGGTAAGCTGCAGCTCCCCTCAGGTTGCACTGAGTAGATGTGTTAGAAAAATGCCAGGCTCTGCAGTAAACCATCACCCCCAAACACAATTCTGAGAGAAGGCTGTTGGAGAAGCGTAGACAGGGCCTCAAATTAGCAAATTCACTTCAGATATGCCACTGGGAACTGTTGAACACATGCATGCCAGACACAGACTGGAAAAAAAAAAGACCAGGGAGGTGATGCCAAGGGCTGGAGCACCTGCTTTACGTGTGAGCGCCCTGGGTTCCATTCCCAGTCCGCAGTCCCCCAAGCACTGCCGAGTGTGCCTCTCCCAAAAAATTACTTGTTATGTTGACTGGCTGGTTTAAACACTAAAATTGCCTCAAGGATTACCGGTAGTGTTGGGAAAAGAACTGTCAGGAAGTAATGGCAGCTCCAGTTAATGATGGCATCCGGAGCCCCGAGTGTGGGGTCATGCAGCTCAGAGAGAAAAAGGGTCAGCTGACAGATTTCTTAGCTGAAGGCCCACTGAAAGTCAAAAGTCGAATGCCTTCAAGTGTCAGACAGGAAAATGAGGCCTAAAGGAAGAGGTGTCCCGCCAGCCAGGCATCCTAAAGGTCAGCACAGACCACCTCCTGGGTCCCCGACCCCACTGCCAGCTGTGGGCTCTAGAGCAGGAATCTAGAGAGAAACCCTCGTCCAGCTGTGGGTGGGGACTGACTAATGATGCAGCAGTTCAAGGCTCAGGCAGCTTGACTCTGTCGACAGCAGGTGATGACGCTTCTCAGGTCAGGAATCCAGAAACACTCCGGCCACTGCCAGCACTCCGGAGAGTAGAGGTTGGTGTGAAGCCCCCGCCCTGATGGGCTAATTACTATTAGTCACTCCCCGACAGGGCCTCCCCCGAGGGTCCCGAGGCTGACAGGCCCCCAAGGATCAGGACGGGGCTTCTCAGCACACAGGGTGACACCTATTTGGTGACCAATCTGCTTTTCAGCAACATCTGGACACAGCAGGTGCTGCCAGCCAGTCCTCCACCCACATGTGGCCATGCTCAGACAGATGGATGACTCCTTAGTGTGACAGATGGCAGCTGTCACCGACTCTGACCTGTTGGCAGTGGCTTCCTGGAGTTCAGGCTGAGCCTTTCGAAACCTGACGGCGTCTGGAGGAGCGACGTGGTAGATGACTGAACATGTATGTGGGTGGGAAGTGATGACCTCGCTGGCCCATCCAGTGCCTCAGCGGGCAGCAGCCCTGGGGTGGGTGAATGAAGACTCTGAAGGAGACAACTGGAACCGCCTGCTTCACAGCACAGGCGGGTCAAGGCAGGAGACCGGGAAAGAGCAGGGCTGGGCCCCCAGACTGAAAGGGTGATTGTTCAGCTGCCCCTGGATTCCCCCACACGCATAATCGTGGCCAGTTCAGTAATTCAGATCTACAATATAACATACCTGAGGGCAAGGCCAGGCTCCTTCGCTAGGTGCACAGGCCACCCCCTTTGCTCCTGAGAGGGGCAGGCAGCTGGAGCCACACACTTATCCACACGCAGGGGAACCATGGCTAGTTTTCAGATCAGGTGCCTCAGAGCCTGGGCCATCAATCACAGCTCCGCTGACTTGTGCCAGCCCCAAAGACCTGGCCCTTGACTCCCTCAGGCTGCAGCGGGGCAAGCAGGACCCAGACAGTTAGCGTTTGACTCTCTCCATGCCAACCTGCCTGGGTCTGCCTGCATCTGAGGGACCAGAGGGGGGTTCTGATCTGGCGAGGGGTGGCAGCAGGGGACCTCAGTGGCAGCCACAGGCCCTGACCACCATATTGCGGTGCTTGCGCAGGATGACGTTGTTGCTGCTGTCATAGTAGAGCACGGAGGTGGCGCTCAGCTTGGTGGGGGCACAGCATGCCTTGGGGACCACGTCTGGCTTCATCAGGTGCACCTGATGGAGGCAGAGGCCTGAGCCTGGGGCCAAGCCCAGACCTCCTGGTGTCCGCCACCCTCCATTGTCCTTTCTTGGTGGTACTACAGCCCAGGGCACGGAAGGGCTACACTGCTCCCCTGTAGACCACCTTGAGGGTGCCCAGCACCTGATGCCCTGTGGCTGCACCTTTTCCTTCCACCCCTGGAGACCCCAAGAGGTCTCTGCTTTTCTCTGTGCCCACCACATCCCTTGTCCACATTGGCTGTGTCTGGGCTGTCTGCCCCCACCCTGATGAACCTGTCGGTGGCAGGGAGCAGTGGGGAGTCCTGGATGCCAAGCGTGTTGGATACTGGATTTCTGAGGGATTCTGCCCCCTAGAGTACCCCCCGAGGTGAGGATCACGGGCAGACAGGGTTGCTGAGGGATACAAGCAGGGAGACAGAACAGGGATTGAGGGCAGAGTCCTATCGCTTCTCCAACTTACTGGGACCCACCCAAAAGTGATTGTGAGGCCAGGGTTGGGGGGCATATGGTCTGCCTGGCACACACAGAAGCCTGACGGAATGGCTCATACAGCACCACAGAGGCTCCCCCTGAAACCACAGGGATCTGCTGTTCACAGTGACTGCAGAGTCCCCCACATGAGGACCAGGGGACTGC